ATGTACAAAAGAATATGGTAATAGAATATTTAGATATTACATATATAATTATGTTTATTAAAAAAATTTGTATCAAAAAATTACATTGACAAAAAAAATTAATGTGATTTTTATGCTTTTAAAATCATTGTGCATATTTCGGGAGCACATAAATTGAGGAATATTTTAAGACCAAAACCAATTTGCTACCTGTATTTTAACTGGTACTTTACTTTTGCACGTATGGGGTGTTCACGTTCAAGTCGGTCAAAGGGGATAAGCACAAAAATTTCATTGTGCATATTTCGAGAACACATTAATCAAAAAACATTTTAAGACAAAAATTATTACGTTTTCTGTATTTTAACTAGTATATAGCCCAGCAAACGAAAAAAGATTGAAAAGAATTAAAACGGGATTGCCAGGAATTCAATTAAGGACTTTCTGAATTTCATTCTGTCCAAAAAAGGGATTGAAATAGTTTCAATATCATGGAATTCCTTATTTTGGAAAGAATTTGTTTTTTTTAAATCCCATCCAATTCCGACACAAAAATATTATACCACTGAATGCCAGGTTAGGGATTGGAAAGTTTCGTGATGAATTCCATTGAATACCATTGATTCCGTTAACGAAATGAATACCACTGAATGCCAAGTTAGGGATTAAAAAGTTTCGTGATGAATTCCATCGAAATACCATTGATTCCGTAAACGAAATGAATACCATTGAATGCCAAACTAGGAATTAAAAATTTCCGTATTGAATTTCATTGAATTCCGTCTATTCTGACAATAAAATGAATACCATTGAATGCCAGGATAGGGATTGAAAAGTGTCCGTGTTGAACTCTGTGGCGGTACGCGCCACCAATAGTACACGCCCGCGCGGTATCTGCATTACCAGCAGTTTGCGTCGACGCCGCTAAGCGTCGCATCGCCGGGGCATCTTCTCGAGTTCAAAGTTTCGTCTTGACCGCTATGTAAAGGGACCCCCTACGGGGCCTGACAGATCTTACAAATCTCATTTTTGGGCTAATTGCCCGTCGGCAGTAGTGCGTGTAATGCCCTTAAGCGTCGTCTACAATGGCAGCAGGATAAAGTAAGACGTAACCAGTAAGTTATTGACTAATGGGATTTTTACAATTCAAGAATAATCGACTGTGATTGGTCAATAGCTTACTGCTTACGTCTTACTGCATACTCCTGCTGCCATTGTAGACGACGCTTTTAGGCATACACAAAAGCTCACCGACGAACAACGAACAACGGCGCTTGGTCGCCCAACGGAGGCGCGAGACGTTTCCTAAACCATCTAATGCCATGCAATTCCATAACCTTTACGGATTCCATAGGATTGGATGGAATTGAAAATTTCTTTTTTGGATTCCATGGGATTGGACCATCTCATTTCGAATTTCATCTAATTTCATCTAATTCCGCCAAAAAAGGGATTCAAAGGTATTAAAAAATTTTAATATCTTTTAATCCTTTTGCGTTTGCTGGGAGATCTTTTTTTGCGTATATTTTTTAAACTATTACAGATAGACTAATTTTGTTTGAGGCATTTGAAAGCACATAAAAAGCACATAATTCTAGCATAATGAGTTTTTTATTTTATATGTAATTTTAATGAGTGGGGGTGCTAGCTTACGTTAAGCCAGCACCCCCAGTTTCAATTGCAATTTCCCACAAAACCGCTCGAGCACAAAAATCGTGAATAGAGCACATATAATTAACGCATGAGAGCACTTAATTTCTGCATATGTGTTATTCCGTTTTTTTATGGGGGGTGCTAACTTAACAGACATAAATACATTATGTTACTTTTTTACCTTTTAAGATTTTTTTCTTTATTTACGGATGTTTGCAAATCTAAGCCATTCCATTATAAAGTGTTCCAAGTCTTTCTCTGTATTACAAGGAATTGTTGTCTAATAGCCTCTAAAACAAGAAGAATTCAATATAGTTTAGATAAGAAAAAAGTTGTAATTTAATATATATATAATTTAATTATAATAAGCAGCTTTACTTACGACTTGTGTAAAAGCTTCTTGATCATCTTTTAGCATTTCTAGTATCTTGTACAGAGTTTTCCTTATAATATATTGTTCACTGATGTTTATCTTAGCCAGGGTCAAATTTTTCAAATGGTGGTTTTTTGAATTTGATACAACAATTGATCCCATATGTTAAGACATATTCATTGCCCTGTACATATAAAATACGCTTACAATAATATATTTATATACTTTAGAGTGTGATAGCACATATATGTGAAAAAATATAGAAATAAATAAAAAGTCAGTTTTGGTCTTGTTTGTACTGATCGTTTGTTACATCTATCAACTTTATACTAATTTTATACTAAATTACTCTTACAGTGGTACATGCAAACAATGATGTATTAAAGCCGTACAATACTTTAACAAATCGTCTTCATGCATAGTGTACCAGCTTTATACGTTATCATTTACATATTTCGTCAAATTTTGAGGTTATTTTATAGAAAGTTACACTGTTTGGTACCATTGAAATAATAGCATTGACGAACCTTGATGATATTTTTAATGTCCAAGGACAAATCTATTATAGAACATTAAAAAATTAATTGATATTTCCTCTCTTTTGTAAATCTCTCTTGTAAATTGGAAAATGAATCCTACATCACCAGCTACTATTCATAGCACAATAAATAATTATAGCACGTATGGTTAATTGAATTCTTATCATTAATATACAACTTTTAGAATATAAATTATTACTTATATATAAATATGCTGTAAATAAAGAGCACTCTGCACTCCTCGATTGACACACGTGTATACGTACTCACGCATCGTATGTAAGATAATCATGTACATCATGGCTGTCGCGATGAGCGTTGCGCACAATATAAAACGATACAATTGTATAATACTTTTCTTTGAATATTGCTCAGCCTCGCGGCCCGAGTACATACATCAAGAATATGTTTGATCCTTAATACTTTGGTATATTTCTTTTCTTCTGCAAATCTCTCTCTTATATAGGTCAAAAAATAGATCTTGAATCACCAGCTACCTATTTACAGCACATATAGATAATTAAGTTCTTATCATTAATATGCAAGTTTTAGAATATAATAATTACTTACTCATATAAAAATGTTGTATACAATTAAAAGCGCTCGACAGCACAAGCACAAACATACGTATATATGACACACTCACGCATCATACGTATGTAAGATAATGCGACTACAGTCTCCAGAACTATTACTGCTTCCGATGGGCTGTCGCGACAAGCGTGCGTCTGCTCATGATCTCGACGCGTTCAAACAGCTAAAAATAATCGGCAGTAAATTGCAAGAAAATAGCAAATAATTCCACTATATAGCTTCTACCGATACCCAAAGAACGTTATTTGTAGTTAATCTAAATTATAGGTTATAAATAATCATATCAACTACTATTCATAGCACGTATGGTTAATTGAGTTCTTATTATTAATATACAACTTTTAGAATATAATAGTTACTTACTTATATATAAATATATTCTAAATAAAGAGCACTCCGCACTGCTCGATCCACACGCGTGTATACGCACTCACGCATTGTACATACGTAAATGTACGCATCATGGCTGTCGCGATGAGCGTTGCGTACAATATAAAACAATAACATTCTAACAACAGAAAATTAATATACTACCAACGTTATTTCCAAGTCCAAATTACAAGGAACTTTGAACTGTTGCATTGATCTCAAATAAATGTCAGAGTAACATTTGAAAAATATTTTCTGTAACGTTTTTAAAATATTTTAACAACATTCAGAAAAATCATATTACAAAATAATATTTTTCAAATATGTGTATAATATTATTAAAAAACGTTTAAAAAATACACATAAAGTCAATATTTCTAAACGTTAATTTAATGTTCCTTGCTTACTGGGATCACTCGCGCGGAGCTACGCAAGTAAGATTATATATTTATCACTTCCTGAAAAATAAAAGTAGAATTAACTTAGTGAAAAAGTTACTTATAAATTATAACGCGGCAAACTATAATGATTTTATTTTATGGAGAGTATATACCGAAATACATTACATTATCTTTTTAATGTTTTTTTCTTTCCTTATGGACGTTTGGGAATCTGAACCACTCCATTACAAAGTGTTCAAAATCTTTTTCTGTACTCCGAAGGAATATTGCTTTAAAAGCTTCTGGAATAAGAAAAATTCAATACAGTTTATTGTTAGATGAAAGAAATAAATAATGTTAATTTAACGGCAATTAAAACTTATGATAATTATTGAAATAACACAAAAGTTTCCGGAATAGTTGACATATATACTAAAACGATCTAAAGTATTAGTTTATGGATATATATTTTTCTTTTATTTCGTAATAGTTATTTGTGTAACAAGTGAGGTAAGATGAAAATTCCCAGGTGCGGTTACCGCACTCGCCTTCGGCTCGTGCGTAAACTCCGCACCCGGGAATTTTCATCTTTACACACGGCTTACACTCCCTATTTTATGTTGCAAGTGCCTGGAAAGTGGTCTATCACGCACGCGTAGCGTGCGTAATGGGGCACTTTCCATGCACGTGTTGCATAAGAATTTTTAACGTGTGTGTGTCCTGCTTTTTAACGATGATTGCTACAAAAAAATAGGAGACAATTTTAATAAATTCTGAGACATAAATATAACATTTAATACTGCAAGAAATATATATATCTCTTAAAAAATTACTTACTTTTAATGCTCAAAATTGTGTGCGCGTATCTCCAATTTTATAATTTTTTTTTTGGCCAGTCCATGAACACATGGAGGCTAAGTCATCAGAAAATGTAACACTCAAACTTCTTCTAATAAAATCCTTTTCATGTTTCCCTCCAATTAACATAACCTTGTTCACCTAAAAAATTTATACTTGTAATTCTATATTATATATTTATTTTATTATTTTATTTTATTATTATAAATTGCAAGAAAAATAATTCAGAAGACTTTTAAAATATAATAACACATATTATAGGATATTATAGAACATATTAAAGGACAAGATTCTATTTGATCGTTTTATACAGTTGAATAGATTATAGAGATAATTAATACAAATGCATTTTTTTTATTTTTGAAGGACATACCATATTTAAAAACTTTACCGACAAAATTCTACCTTTTTTTAGAAAGTTTACATATATCGTATTGGTTGCATAAAATTATAAATGCTTTTACATAATAAAAATAGGTGTACATCAATTAGAGCATTTGCTAAATATATCACAAAAATGATTAAAAAATTTCAAAGTAAAAATCTCGAGCTGTCAATGTAAATATTTATCTGTTTACAAAAATTGTACAACTTTTATATATTATCAGTATGTTTGCTCCGTTAAAGAAAATTGTAAAAAGTTATTACTGTACTATACTTCAATTAAATTTAAAAGCTTAAAAATATATGAAAAATTTGCAAAAAGATTTTTATATATAAATACTTAGGCTGGTATTCATAGTTATTTAAGACCGTCTTAAGTTCAATCTTAAGATGTCATGAACCAATCACAGAGCCGTATTAGCGTCTTAAGACATTACTTAAGACGATCTTGAAGACTATGAATACCGGCCTTAAACTTTCTGCTAAATATGGTAAAACCACTGATCTATATTATAACTGGATAGTGAATACCCTACTCCCACCCCAAATTTTATGAAGCAATATGAACGGCCGCCATGTTGGCCGCAGCGGGCACTTCGGGCGTCATCGGAAGCCGTCGTGAGCGTTCGTGAATCGCCGAGTTTGAAGTTGCACACAGATAAAAAATTTAAAACCGCTTAATGTTGTTAAAGTTAGTAATTTGTAATCGGGTAACTTTTTCGTTGTCAAAAATGAAAAAGAATTGCGTACATTGTGGAAAAAGCGACAAGGGTGAAGATGTGCCTAGGTCTTTTCACCGGTAAGTATATATTATAGTATCTAATTTATTATATATATTATATATAAATCAATGGCAATCAATCACTCGATATTAAATTATTGGTTATGTTGAATAATTTATTGCTTTTTGTAGTTTTATTTTCACGTCGTACGATTTTTAGAGATAAAATACATTATCTATATTATAATTAATCCGTGCATGAGGTAATGTCGTGAAAATTACAAATTGAGTGAACAAAAATAACTATTACAAAGTTTGTCTTTTCATTCAGATTGCCAACGAAAAGGCCACGAGAACTGCAGTCTTGGCTGAAAAATCTAAACCTAACAGAACAATAAGCAGCCACTCGAAAATCTGCGATTTATTTCAATAAATGCATTTATATTTTACACAATTGTATGTATAAGAGTGCGTTCCGTTTCATGCATGATGCGCATAATGCATAATTTATCCTTGTTGTTCACTAAATATTAAACAAAGATAAGTGATGCATTATGCGCATCATGCGTGAAACGGAACGCACCCTAAATTAACTGTAAAAACACAACTAAAGCGATTTTCACTCCTGTGTGCAACTTCAAACTTGGCGATTCACGAACGCTCACGACGGCTCCCGATGACGCCCGAAGTGCCCGCTGCGGCCAACATGGCGGCCGTTCATATTGCTTCACAAAATTCGGCCTATTCACTATCCAGTTATATATAGATCAGTGGGTAAAACAAAGCAACACACATTTATATATAGAAGATCTATATGCATAAAAAACTAATTGAACAATGTAGTGTGAATGCGTTAGTACTTATTTGATATGACGTTTAGATGATTTTGTCCGTATGTTACTGACACTTTTAGAGTTTTTCATCTATTTTTTCATCTAATAAATTGTCATAAACAAAAAATATATGCATATGTTACGCCACAATCAAAATCACTATAAACACAGTAGATATAGATAATGCGCAATTACTATCTTTGGTATAGGCACTACATTGAAAATAAATACTGGTGATCTCTTTGTCGACTTTAAATTGCAAATATTATATTTACTACTCTTGGAGAGAAAGGGAGAAAGAGGGAGAGAGAGGGATGGAGAGGAGATATCTCTTACAGTCTTTTCTCTTTAATTCTTAAATTTTCAAAGCCTGATTTTATTGTATAAATTTATATCTACTACGATTATGTAACTACTAACCAGAAATGTTATTTGTAAATGTTTATAGAATTAATTATAATTGTGATAAGCAGCTTTACTTACAACTTGCATGAAAGCTTCTTGATCAGTTTTTAGCATATCTTAAAATTGTCAATGAAAGATAAGGGGAGATATTGTCCAATCTTTGTATTTTGTACAATACTTTCCTTATTGCTCAGCCTCGCGGCCCGAGTACATCAAGAATATGTTCGATCCTTAATACTTTAGTATATTTCTTTTCTTCTGCAAATCTCTCTCTTACATAGGTCGAAAAATAGATCTTGAATCACCAGCTACCTATTTACAGCACATATAGATAATTAAGTTCTTATCATTAATATGCAAGTTTTATAATATCAAGAGACACGGTAGTGTCTCGCGCCAAATACACGCGGAGCGAGACCGACCGTGACTCTTTTACGTGACGCGACGGGTTGCGAGTACTCGAGATGTTGAGATCTCGATAACGAGTGAACGGATCAAGTTCTAAGTATAGGCTTGATCGATAGCTTGGGGTCCAATTAGGGAGGGTTTCTCTTATAATATTCCGCTACGTGCCCTACGAGCGGAGATATTGCGACGCAAAGTCCAAATGTGAAAATTTATTTTTAAGATACGAATACTTCTACATCGACCGTCTCTCATCTCAATATTATTATAATTATCAGAGAAACGTCACTTTCACTTTTTCGACACTGGCGGCTAGCAGCGTTAGTATCGCAGTGCAGTGCAGTGCAGACAGTGCGTTTGTTTAGCGCGCTGTCAGTCAGTTCATCAGTTAACCTATTCATCAGTTAACTTATCTCGAGAGCACTCGAGAGACACGGTAAGTACGAAGTACGCGCGAAGCGAGACCGATCGTGACTCTTTACGCGACGCGACGATTAATTACTGTTATACTTATTTTATTTACTGTTTATTACTACGTTTACGTGAGTGTTTATACATACAAGTTAATAACCTATTATATTATTTTTTATATTGACGGCAGGGAGCTGGTACTGAGATCAAGGAGCCTGTTCACACGAGGCGTTTCTGCGATTGCGATTGCGGCCGCGCGTTAATAACGTTTGCACGAGCCGCACGCGCGTACGCGAAACGGCAGTAACACCGTATCGTGCCGGCGATATACTGAATTTAAATTGCTTCGTGCTCTTATCTGGAGATTTCGTATCCCTACATCGTGTTACCATTGCACCGCTGCCGGAACAGAAGGTTCTCTACGCTTGGCAGAAAGTGACGACTGACACGTTCGATCCCGACTTCGTTGATCGCATAAGAGC